ATGCTGTGAGCTTGGCTGGAGACCATCAATTGTGCTATTTCTGCATTTTCCAGCTCTTCATGGGTTACTTGGTGAAACTCAAGGTTCCAAGGGGCTCAGCAGCAGCCACAGGGTGACAGTTCCCTGCAGTCAAACTGAAGGGCAGAATGTTGCCAACAAAAATCTGCTGCTTAATTTTATTGGTAACAGAAGGTGTGTCCTGGGCAGTTGTGGGTTAAGAGGCAGCTGCAGAGTCCAGCTCAGGGCTGGAGAGCTGCTGCAGCTTACCAGGGCATTCTAAAGGAGCACAGGATTGACAAGCTGGTACTAATAAACTGACTCAGCTACCTCTTGAGGCAGGTTTCTGGCTGCCTGGGCCAGGCTTGGCATAGGGCTGGTTTTAAGAGTTAGAGCAGGCTACTTTCAGGGATTGGAGAGTGACAGTAGGACAGGAGTCTTATTGGAAAGGGAATCGAAAAGATGGGTTGGAGATTTGTCCTAATGGGTTCGGTTCCATTTCTGCCTGCAGTTCATGGAACTTGAAGGAATTTTATCCTCTCTAGGTGGCTTCTAATTTCTAAAAGATGTTTTTCATACTTAAAATAAGTAAAATTTCTTAGATGTGACTTTTTCATAGGCATGCCAGAATTGTATTCCATGCATTGTTTGTATAATTTATACTGTTGCATTTATAAACACAATGAAATCTAATTACATTACTAATGTAAACAAATATTAAGGTCTGAAAGGTCTGGTTATTGTTATAGTGCACACATTAGTTTTGTTGGCTTTGTGTGCTTGCATAGTTAGCTTTATAGCAAAGAGTAATGACTGTACTAACTAGGAAAGATCAGATTGAGGTGGCAGAATGAAGAGAAGGAGACTGGGTCATGTTAACTATTGCTAAACCTCTATTGGTCAGCCCAGCCCTAAAAAAGCCTGAGTCCAAAGAGGAATGCTTGAGAACATGGGATAAGAAAGAGAGCAAAAAATGAGAGGGAGAGAGCACAAGCTTCTTGAAATATTCTTCTCTTCCTAATTTAAAAATGAAGGTGTATCTTTTCAGTGTTCCACCTGGAAAGCATTCACACCTGAAAGAATACCAGTCAGCTGTTATTCTGGTGAACTTAGCAAAATGCTTGTTAATCCTTGTAGTTGGTCTAGTGTCAATGGAAATACTGGTGTGGAAATTCATGTTGTTGTTCAATTAACTAAGCATAATGTACCAGAAAGTTAGGCCCATTACATAGGCTTCCATTAACAGTGTTTCAAAAAATGTTTGCTTTGGTGGTTTTTCCATGCCTTGCAAACATTTACTTAAAAGCATCTGTTGACTGTTATGTAATATTTGCTGTAATATGTAGGTGCAAGGCAGCTGCAAACATTTTATCCCCCCTTCAGTGGATCATCAGCATGACTCTTGCTTTTATATTTTATGTGTGTGTAAATATGAAATCTTTGGTTTTGTATGTCTTGGAAAACACAGTAAATCAAGAAATTATCAATAAATTTAAAAATGTATGAACAGATAGCATTTGAAAGGTTTTTGCTTTGAACTAAGAACTAATTTATGTGAAGGCCAAACCTTGGCTCTCCAATATCAAAACAAGAGAAAGCTTCAATTTAAAAATGTAATTGCCTACACATTCTGACCATTTTGTATAGATCATTGGGTTCCCTGCAATTCCCCATACTGAAATGCAGCAAATAGTTTTATTTTGAGTGAGTTTGAAGCACTAGGGGGATTACAGAAGCTTTTTGCAGTGCTTTGCATAGAGGAGTGAGGGAAGGTCTATTGAAGAAGTGCTTTTCCTTTGTCAAACAAGTTATTAACTATAGTATTTCAGTCATGTTTCACCATCTTTGTGGGTTATTACAGCTTGGAAGGTCTTCAGTGTCTCAGACTCCTATTGATTGTGTAACATGACAGGCAGAACAAGAGATTACTGACATGCCAGTTACTGATTTCCTCTTGGATGGAGCAGGATCATGGCTGATTCCAGGCACAGTGGGAACTGCCTCTCCCACAGAAACACACTTACCTGTTCCAAAACTTCCATGGTGTCTGTGAGGGTTTTAAAACATCCTTTATAAACATGATTCCTCTGGTATGTCTAAGGTGAGGATGTGGGAGCTTCTAAAAGACTCAGAAAGAATGTAGGAGAAAATGAAAGCCTTTTCTCTTGCTGTTAGTCTTTATTATGTTTAAGGTGCTTATCTTTCTCTAAGCATGAGAATCAGCAGCAAAATTTTGAAAGTTAATATCAAGAGGTGTTCAACCTTTATACTAAAAGAGGTTACTTTACTGAAAAGAGAGCCAAAGTGTGCCCGAGATGTTCTGGCTGAAGAGTTCAGCCTGAGCAGATGCATTGCTGTCCTGGTGCATAGGTAATATGGGTGGATGGGTTTGAATTATAAATAAAGCAAACATGCAAAAAATTATTGCAATTATTGCAATGCTTCTGCACATCCCGTGTCAGAGGCAGTTTTTCAGATAGTACTGACTAACAGTGGTGCCATTAAGGAGGAACTGTAAAATGACTTATTTTATTACTTGGTAGACTCTCCTGAAAACATTAAACTGTATTTGACGGAAAGTTATGTACTGCAAAATATTTTTTCCTAATAGAACAATAGCAATTTAGACTTAACCTCATTATAATTGTTGCTCTTTCAACCAAGTACTAGAAGTGAGATGTCTGTTATTCAGCTGCCAACTGACTTGGCATTTGCACTCATGTTTGAAGCTAGCTGTTCTTGCTGAACTAGATTGGAAAACAGAGGAAAACCTCAGATTTTCTACATTTCGGCATACTAAACCCAGACATGTCTAAAAGAGTGATTTTTTTATTGTTATAGTATGTCTTACTTATGTTTAAAGGCAAGATATTTTTGCAGTAAAAAAATGTAGCAAAAGAACGTTTTCTTTAGCAATAAGCTACAAAGAGTTATTAGAGATTTCTAAACAAGTATGGTCTTGGGGAAGTACTGGGAGAGAGAAAATTAATTCCATCCATTCATTTCTATGACAGTTGTCTTGCTGCACACTCTGGAAAACAGTAGAGATATACAACTTAGCAAGAAACAAACATCCTCAAATATTTTCAGCAAAAAATCTTTTTTGCCGAAAAAAAAAAGGTTTTTTTTCTTTTTTTTTAAAGTATCCTGAAATTTTGAATCTGGAAGGGTTTCCCTTGAAATCAGATACCACTAGTTAAAGTGAATGATTCGGTCAGTATATAGAAAAATATTGCAGTTATTCAGAAGCAGCATATTGAAACTTTTAACTTTAAGGTTTTCTATATGACTTAATGCAATTGGTAGCAATAAACATACAGGATTTAAATCTGCTAAAAAAATTCTGAAACCAGACTGTTACTAGCTAAAGTAAATGGGAGTAGTTAAATGTGAGATTGTGTCAGGAAGAGAAATCTTCTATGTCCATTTAATTGTCATGCCTTATTTGTTGAATCTACTTAGTGTTTCATGTGACTCCCTGACCACACATCAGGAAGCCCTCTTAAGCCATTAAGCCCCCCTTCAGCAAAAACAGTTAAGTGGTTCCTGTCTTTGTCTGCACAGCTTGTGCAGTTCAGCTGGAAGTGCATGGAAAGAGTATTAGGGAAGTGTGCACCCCATATATAGAGCTGCTTCTGTCTTCTGACTCCCACTGTTTCAGATACACAGATAATAATTTGATATAAGATATGACTACATTAGAATATTAGAGCCTGATAAAGAGCTTCAAGTTTTCCTCTGATGATATCATGAGGCTTTTATTATCCATTTAATTTCTTGTAGAAAAAGTTCTTTTCATGAAGCCACCTCAAATGAACATAATATTTTATGCTACAGTTATTAATACTAATATTGATAAATCTGATATGCTAATATATTGTCTGCTGAAATCTTTTAAACTCCTGCAGTTTGCAGACTCTGTTTGCTCTTGGCTGCTGGTTCTGGAGCACTGCTGTGCTTCACTGGGGAATAGTTCAGGGCAAGTCTCCTGATGATCTGTTGCCAGCCTTGCTGAGGTTTGTGCAGCCGCTCTCGTTCCTGTCGCGCGGGCAGCAGGCGGGGCTGCAGCTCCTCCCGGCAGAGGGCGCAGCGCTGGCCTCGCCTACGCAGTGCCCAGGGATGGCGCGGCCGAACGATGGCTCCGACTCTGAGCATCGTCTGCACTGGGCCTGGATTAACCGGCCTCTTGTAGCAAGGAAACATTTGGTTTTCAGTACTTTAAGAATATTGTTGCTGTAAAAATAAATCTAGAGCTCGACAGCATGGTTGATATAGGGGTGCTGGTTGCATTTTCCCTGACTGAAAAAATGTGTTGGGCAAAGTATTAGTAACAGCCAAGTTCTGTTTCAAAGTGAAATGTACAGCTTCACTGGCAGTTCTGTGAAGATCAGTAATTTGTGTATTCTTTCTATCCTTTGCACAGGCAACACTTAATGAAGTACACACATTAGTAAGATGTCCATCCTGCTGAGAAATGAACTGTGAAAAAGTTTAGGCAAACATGTTCCAGCTGTTCCTACAAAGGATTGCACAAGTCACACATTTTGTTTCCACAAAACTTTCCCCACAATTTGCTGCTGCTCAGCATGTACTAACACGTACTTCACTTAGCTTCCTACAATTAAAATTTGCAAACAAAAAAGCTTTCCAGTGCTAGCAGACTCATGTGCTTTCCCAGAGATTTGGAGCCACGTGTTTCAGGAATGGCTGGGTACACCACGCCAATATAATATAAAGGCAACGTCAATCACCTTCTCTCACTTTTTAATAGCTCCCCTCCATGATTCTCATTCTCTGTCACTAGAAACTTAAGATTAAAGGAACTTTACTATATTTCAAGTAAATTTTAATCCATTAAGATGGATCTCCTTCACAGCAATGGAGTGCTTATCATTCAGCATTTACAGAGGGACTACAGGGCTTACCAGGATTTCCTTAATTTTATGTCACATGTTGGTGATCCTCGGAATATATTTTCAATTTATTTTCCTCTTTGGTTTCAGCTCAACCAAGTGGTTGGTACTAAAATGATATGGGTGGCTGTCATTGGTGACTGGTTCAACCTCATATTTAAATGGTAAGAAAAATTTGGTGTTTTTATTAATAGTTATTATATGTACCTCAAGTTTAGAAAACTTTCTGTGAATAATGTACTAGTAGATTTTCCCTGGTAATTATAAAATAGGAATTCACAATCAAGATATTTAAGATATGTTTGAAATAACCTTGTAATAAGATGAGAAGAACCTGTAGAACTATTATAGAATAGCTTTGCAAATATAGCTCTTCATATTCTTTGTAAGATTATTTATCATGCTTTGCTGAGGCCTTCTTATGTAAAAATATTTTCATTTAATTTCTCCCTTCTTTTTTTTTTTTTTTTTTTTTTTTTGGGTCAGGATTTTATTTGGCCATCGCCCTTACTGGTGGGTGCAAGAAACAATGATTTATCCTAATCAGTCAAGCCCATGCCTTGAACAGTTTCCTATAACATGTGAAACTGGACCAGGTAAGAAATGTTGCAGATTTTCTTGGTATATTTGATAGGGATAGCGGCTTCAAGGGGGAGAGAATGGGACTTAGGAAGGTCTTACATGATTCGGAAATCTCAGAGCTCATGTATAAAATAGCACACAAAAACAAGTAGAGGAAAAGGAAGAAATACAATAGGTAGGTATTTGCTGTAGGACAAGAGTGTTTCCTTCTTTTCCTTTAAAAGGTGCAAGAGAGGGGGACTTGCTTTAAAAATAACTACTACTAGAATGAACTGGGGTATTGGAAAGAAATTTTCACAAAACTTGTGAAATACATTATTTATTGGGTTCCAAGGCAGATCCCAGGGCTGTTGAGTTTGAGGGCTTGTTTGCTTTGCAACAAGTATTCAAACCCCATAAATTAAGTAGATAATTCAGGGTAAATAACAATAGTCTTAGCAATTGATTACATAATGTATCACAAGAGGAAAAGAGCCAGAACCAGACACTGCCACTGAATGCATGTGTGGGAGTATGTGTACTAATATATGGGGAAAAATTATTTTTGAAATGTACCTTTTCAATATATTTTCACTTTTTATATCTCATTATCTTCTCTGTGGAAATCAAATGCAATACTGAAACTAAATGAACTTGTGCAACCCTAATATGTGCAATAAGATGAACTTGCATTGAGCTAACTGAATTTAGTTTAATTTTTGTACAAGAAAATACTGACTGTGGAAATGATGTGGTTTGCATCTTGTCAATGCCACTGAAAGCTTTTAAACAGTTTGCACAGCTGTATTTTGTTAACAGTACTCTGCATTACATCCATTGTAATTGTGAGCAAGAAGCTTAAACCCTTGTATGAGGCAGGGTTTAATAATGCCTGCTCTTTATGTCTGCAGTCTCTTTCAAGTTACTTCATTTGAGACCTAACACAAAGTATTGAAGCCTTCAGATCTTCTCAAAAGCCTTCAGAACTGAGCCCAGTCGGTGCTGTGTAGATCTGAGCCCTGGCTCAGGAGACAGTCACTGTTTCATTGAACCAGAAGGCATTTCCTCTTGTTCCTGTGTTTCTGAAAGGTCATTGCTATTTCTGTCCAGTGGGTACAACTGTCATATTGATTCCTTCCTTGCACTTATAATGACCACATTTTTCCCACCTCCACACTTACACAGGACCATAAAGACTGTCACTGACCTGTTTCTCATTAGCCAGAGGAGGCACAGTCAGTGCAGGTTATATGCACCCAATCATTGTATGAGCTTGAGTGGTACTTCACACACTTTTAAAATTGCAATCTATATTAAAAGATAAGAGAAGCAGCTCCAAATACATGAGACATGAGAAAGCAGCTCCAAATACTGCTAGGATAGCCTGAACCCCAAACTCCATGTCTCAGCAAAAGGGAAAGCTGAGCGAACTGTTCATATGACTGCATGGCAAACAGTTTAGGACCTGAATTTGGTTTGCATTTCTGGAATTAACTGAACTAAAACCCAGCAGCCATTTGTTTTCTAATATCTGTGAAACTTTAAGAATATAAACTTTAAGGTAAAATTTATGCTGTTTTGAGTAGGAAATTTGCAGATAAGCTATGAAATATTATTCCTAGATGGCATTTTCCTAGATGACAACAAAGAGAAGCTTTTCTACTGCTGACATACAACGTTACCGTTTCCTCATCAGTGACGTTTGTTCCATTATGAGGTTTAGGAGTGCGCACCTGATAGGAAATTAACAAAAGAGCTGGTAGAGTGACTCTAAATGTACTGCCAAGCAGAATAGCAAAAATGAATGCAGGGAATCAGAAATCATTGTACTTGTCCTGCTAGACATTTCTGCTTTGCTACTTCACTGAAATATTCTTTTACTCTACTCACTACTAGACAGTACTGGCTCATAACACATTCTTGAGCCAAAATTATTTCTTCTGATAGTGAAATAACCCTGTCCCTTTTCTGCCTCCACAGAAACCCAAGATGTAAAGGCCCCAGATTTACAGATTCCAATGATCTAATTTTTTCTTTCCCTATTTTGATTTGTTGAATGTAAATCTGGTGAACATGAGAAAGGAAATTACAGAGTAATTTTAGGAATCACTTCCCTTGCATCATGTCATCATACCTTGTTTTATGGTGATTTTCACAGTTCTCTGTGGTTTCATATTGCTTCCAGTAAAATTGATATTTTACTTTTTAAATTAAAAGAAATGACACATATACCTGGATTAAAAAGAAATCACTGTTGTTCTCTATATGAGAGAGTGTTCCCTGTTATAGACTGCTGTAGGTAGACTACTGTGTGCTGTACCTGTGGGTACAGAAATTAGAGCATCATATTATGTGCCAGTTTCATTGACAATCTGCTTTTAATCTGGTTGATATTTTACACCACCTTAAAATTATAAAATTAATCAAAGTTAAGCATAAAGAAACATTTTTTTCTGTGTTTCAGGTGCATTTCTAAAATTATTACAAAACTACTCAAAATGTTACATACCTGCATTGTAATATTGCTAATGAGGCACAGCTCACAATTGTTAACACCATGGTAATTGCTGAAGCAGATAAAAAGCAGCTTAGAAGTGCTATCTAAAGTTATACTGGTCCCTTAGTTTAGAATGTTACAAAGAGCTACATTTCTCTTGCTCCTGTTAATTATGAGGAGGCTCATTCAAAACTTTTTTATGTGATCCTCATACATAATTTCTACATGCTACAGCTCTAAGACAGCCCTAGGTGCTTTTTAAAATTTTTAAATCCAAGTAATGGGAAGATAATATGTTTTCCTATCAAAACATATTGTTTTGATTTATATATATGATATATATATATATATATATATATGATTTATATATATGATATATATATGTTTTTATATACCAATATAAAGTGAGTGAGCTACTACCTTCTTTATTTCAGACAAGTATTATGGATTCCCTGTAGATGAACCTTCTGAAAAATTCTTATGGGAAAAAATTAACTTTTGAGAAGCAGTTTCAGCCTTTGTTAACCATTTCTCTTCTAAATTATTAGGTGCCTGAGTAACTACCACTAGACATTTTCTATATGACCGATGTCACAGTCTTCATTCTTGTGTTGAATATTTCCTTTTTGTTTTTACTAGGAAGCCCATCTGGACATGCCATGGGATCATCCTGTGTTTGGTATGTAATGGTCACAGCAGCACTTAGCTACACAGTTAGATGGAAAGATAAATCAGCTGTTACCCTTCACAGGTCAGTGTTCTTCCAACTCATTATATTCAGATATTTCTTTAAATATATGCTATGTTTTTAGTGGACTTAATATAAACAAATACTCATTTCATGACTGTGAATTTTGTCTTGAAATAATTGAGTTTTGCATATAGATATGACTTCATGATGAGAGATATATTTAAGGTATTAGTCCTAATTTAATCTGCTATTGATGACTTTCATCACTTAAACCACAGAGGTGTCTTGGACCTGAAACTTCTGAGATCTGTTCCTGTAACCAGGCTTGATAATGTTTTAGTACTGACTTCAAGTTTTTAATCATCTGATTCTAAACTACTCTACTTAGTAAACCTGTGCTGGTAAAAGCATGAGGCTTACATGATGAGTCTTGGGGTAAATAAATAGATGAAATATCTTGTTTCAATTTTTAAGCATCTTCCTTTTCCCTCTTAGACTAACATGGTCATTCCTCTGGAGTATTTTTTGGATTATCCAGATCAGTGTGTGCATCTCAAGAGTATTCATAGCAACACATTTCCCTCATCAAGTTGTTCTTGGAGTATTTGCTGGTAATGCTGCTATTTTTTCTTTCCTTTTTAACCTATATGCAATTTTTTTTAAAATATGAGAGAAGACAAGAAATTTTTAGTAGTTGGACTTGCCTTGCAGCCCTGGTGGTGCTCTCCACTCTCTTGAAAATCAGGGATTTGATTTTAGTCTGAAGGTAAAATTTGTGAGGTAGAATGTGCCTGCTGCCTGTGTAATTCCCAGTGAGGGAGTGAGCCCTTGTCCACCTGCCAGTTGATGCTGACTGTATTGTGTCCACACTGCCCAGACTGGCTCTGACTGCTTTGTACTGCCTGCATCTGATCTTTAACTGCAGAAGACATCAGAGAGGAAATTGCTCCTCCATGGCTCTGACTTTTCCTCTCAGGAGGAAGTTATTTGGGTCACTTCAAATGGTGTCCAGGTGCAAAACAGCATGTGTGCAATGTGGACAAACACAGAGACCTGGGGCAAAATGGAAAAAAAAAATGTAAATAGCAGGACAAACTCCCCTGGGTGATTTAAGATGCTAAAGTACATTTTTCAGAGTTACTTAAGCATATTATAAATTGGTATTCAGGGAGTCCAAACTATAAGCAGTATCTCCGGTATCTGTATGAATTTAAGGAGGGTGACCAGTGCTTTGAACAGGGGCTTCCTGCTCATGTTCTCTTTCATGAAAGCAGTGCAGCCTGGGCAGCCCTGGCTAACAGCTTTCCCTCTTCACAACCAGGATAAAATGAGTACAAGAGAAGATAACTGTGTTCTGTGTCTTTTCCTTCAACACTCAAAGCCTGTGTGGGAACTGGTGTTGAGTTCTGCATTGCTGGAGCCAGTCTTTGAGTGAGGGACTCTTTTGGAAAAGGAATGTTCCAGTTTACATCTAATATTTGATAGGTTGTCATCTGGGAGATGCAGTCAGGTATGCCTCATATCGAAACCATGTAGTGCTTGGTTTTTGGTTTTTTTTCCAAAGTGGCACTTTTGAGTGGGAGGAAAGGTTTTGTAATGTACTGCAAAAGTGGTAAATTGTGTGTGTATATGTGTATGTATAAATATAACTATATATATATATAGACACACATGTGGATATTTATTACATAGGTATATTCTTCTGTCTTTAACAGTCAAATTCTGTAGGGACACTGTAGAAAATGCTTTTCAAAGTACAAGTGTGTTGTTCCCTATAACACTGAGTTTCTAATCCACAGGCATTCTTGTGGCAGAAGCATTTGAACATACCCCTGAAATTCAGACAGCAAGCTTGAGAATGTACATCAAGACAAACTTGTTTCTTTTCCTCTTTGCCCTTGGCTTTTATCTGTCCCTCAAGCTTCTTGATATTGACTTGCTATGGTCTGTTCCAAAGGCCAAGAAGTGGTGTGCCAACCCAGACTGGATAAACATTGACACAACTCCATTTGCTGGACTGGTGAGGAATTTAGGTGCACTCTTTGGTTTAGGTCTTGGACTTAATTCTGAAATGTTCATCACGAGCTGCAAAGGTAAAAATAGCTGCAAGATAAGTTTCCGCATATTGTGTATAGCTGCTTCTTTAGCTACCCTGCAGCTGTATAATTTTGTTAAGATACCTACTCATACTGAGTATTTGTTCTACATTCTCTCTTTCTGTAAGAGCGCAGCTATGCCTCTCACTGTAGTTGCCTTGGTTCCCTACTGTGTCCACTCGTTAATGAGGACAACTGAAAAGAAACTTAATTAGGTAAAGTTTCAAAATGGTTAGCAATGTGGGGATGGATGTGAACTGTTTGAGAACCCTCTGCAAAGGCAGTTTTGCTAATTCATTTAAACCAAGGGGATGCCACTGCATCTTTCATGTATTCCTGGTAAGTAACCAGTACATCCAAAATCAGTACACTCAAGCAGATGAGAAATATTAGTTGCTGATTTTATTCCTAGAAATATTGCAAGCACACTGCAGTATGGTTAGAAATGGCCCAATACTCTGTGTCATAATGAAGTTTTAAAGTATAACCAACCATCTTTATTTAGCTATATGGTGGTCTTTCAGTTCTGTCCATCTCTAGCTAGATAATGCTTCAAGCATCAGCTGTACATAGTGATACTCGATGTTTCATTTTTTTATAAATAGATACTGTGTGTTATACTGCTCCATAATGGTGTGACAGTATCACACCACCTATTGTAGGCTGTACCCAGGCACTGTGAAAAAGGCCAACATAGTTATAAACAAGGCTTTAGATTTAATTTATTGAGCTTCCTGAGCAAACCAGCTTCTGAGTAAGTCAGATGAGAAAAAAAAGTTTATTTCCATTGGACTCTGTAGAATATATTTTTGCATTACTGTGTGTTTTTTGTCATTTTTACTTTTTAGAAGGGGTCACGTGAATCATGAATAATACAGATCACAACTTCGAATGGGGAAATGCTTAAATATGGTGTAAAAAATCTTTGGTTTCTGTACATCTACACAGAGCAACAAAAGAAAAAAGGTGTCAATAGTGAAATTATCTCAGTATATGACCTCAAGAATGTTGTTCCTGCTCCTGTATTGCAAAGTTAATTCCCTGCTAATTCTCTCAGATCAACAGTCACAAGCCTGAATCACTGTTAGCAGTTGTGTAAATCATGAAAATATTGTTGCAGACTGTCACTTCAAGTTTCTATTCTTTGTTTAACTAAGCACACAAGTAACTAATATGTTGAATATATGTTTGCTATATAAAATGGATTTTCTAAAGGGGTACTTTCCATTTTATTCATTATTTGGCATCTATTGTTGTATATTTCCTTTCAGTGCACAATCTTTAAGTAGTATTTTGCTGATACCATCCCATAAAAGTCTCTCTCTGTCTATATAAATAGATATATATAGCCTTAGTATGCCTGGCTAAAATATGAGTAATGAGGGCTGCATATATATGATCTGAAAGCAATAAGACTTAGAAGATGTAAACATGATATTGCCTCTAGACTTCCAATTAGGTAGGAGGTAATTGAAAGAATCTTATTTAATTGGGTAAACAAGGCAAATAGTTTGGTGTTGGCCTTTGGGAATGAACAAGATACAAATTACAGAAGCAAATCTGAAACAGGCATCCATAATTAAGAGCCTAGTAAGACTACCATGACTTAAGAAAATTAATCATTGAGGAGTATTCTGCTTCATGTATCTCCTGATATCTTCTCTAATGGTTCTCTGAACTTTTTCCCACAGCAGCTGACCTGAAACCACTCTTTCTTATAATTGTGACTCCTTAATCAAAATCACTAAGTTCATGGGACCAGACACAAACAAAGACAGCTGTGACAAAGATTTCAGCTGTGTTCAAGTTGCTGTGTGCTTTGTTATTCCCTACCATGTGAGATGACCTACAGAGGCATCACAGAGCAGTAGCAGGTTGATTGAGTTGTTCTTCTGTTCATGGCTCCTCCTAGCCAGCAGTAGGAGAGTCTTCATGCACAGCTGTCCAAGGTTCTTATAATAGCATCTGCATTTGGTGGCAATTTGAAGCTGGGAGTTATGGGTAGGGATCACATTTCTAGGCTTCTAATCACATGAGAGTCTCTGTTTCCCAACACTGACAAAGAATCTGTTGGAGTAGCACCCTTCCCAACATTTAGCTCTCTGTTTCTCAGTTGCCTGGGAAGAGGATAACGTTACACTCACTGAAGAGCAGCAGCACAATCACCCAGCTTGGGGCCTGGCCCTGTGCTGCTGCAGGGAGACAGCAGGCTCCTGTGCAGGCAGGAGTTGGCCTTGTCTGCAGCTCCATCCTGAACAGCAAACCCTTGGCACAGACATGGTACTTACTGGCTGCTGCCAGATACTCATGTACTTAGCTGAAGGCTAAGAGAAGAAATGCTAGAGCACAAGAACCAGTAAAAAAAATACAATTTATTGGTTTAATTTGGGTCACAAAGGTATTGCCCTTTAGGAAAAAGAATTATTAAATAAGTTTACATAGTCATTGTCATTTTTAATGAAGAGTTATTCTTTTTCTGTGTCCTTAAATAATAATATTAATTAAATACCATATACATATGTCTGCAGGTTATTGATAGTCACTCTGTCAATAGTTTCCTGAGCTATCAAACTACTTATTGCTCTGAAATGTAAAAAGGCTAAAAAGATTAAAGCAAATAATGCAGCTTTTCCTTTTACTTTTCAGTTAAGGTTTAAAACACAGACTTCCATAGAGAAATTGCCGTTTCAGTGCTGGTTATGTGATTTCAATAGGGTATGTGGAAGTGAGTCTGTTAATGGAGTTGTATAAAAGTTGAAATTGGGTTTTGCTGCCTGGAATTAAGGGATGTATCCTAATAACATTTTTACCCTTACAGCTCTATTTACAGTACTGCTACTGTTGCAGTATTTTATAGAAGTGGTGTGACTTCTTATAAAGTGAGTAGAAACTTGCCTGCCTCCCCCACCCAGCCCAGATGCAGATTTTAGGACATGGAGAATGACCTCCAGTTAATATTCTGTTGTTTAAAATCAATATTTAAATACTACAACTGTTATCCATACTTTCTTTCCATCTGCTTTTCTCCAAGATCCTAGTCACTAAAGGAAACAGTCCTGTTCTGCTGCAGACAATAACCAATAACATATTTCAGTGAAACTTGTGGTAGATGCTACAATAAAATGTGACAGATACAAGTTTCTACCCAAAGAAGTTCCTTCCTGACCTTTGTAATTTATGAATATATTGTTGCTCTGTTTATCAACTGTATTTAATACAAAGAACTAATTATGCCTATTTTTCCTACCTCCACTCGTGATTGTATTACCTTCTGATAAAAGAACACATCCATCACCATTTCAGTAGAAGTGGTTTAAATAACTGATTATTAACCATAGAATTTTACATTAATTTAACCAAGGCATTTATTCCTATTCAAAAATCTTTTTGACAGCTGATTACAATGATGAGTACTAGCTGGAGAGTGGTGGGCTAGGAAATGATCCTCACCAGCTTCTGTTCCTTACCTTGGTTGCTTTCCTTACTTTTGTGGAGCTGCCTTCTTTGTAAGTACTGAGTGGTTTGTTGAAGGGGCACAGCTGTGGCAGTGCTGCAGGTGCACACAAGGGAAGCCCAGCCTCCCCCAACAGCACAGCTGATGTGTGTGGTGCAGGGGGTGAACGAGTGGGGCTTCTGCATGCACAGGAAAGGCCTCTGCTGAAATCAGCTGCAGACCAAACTTTAGCACAGATTGGGTCCCTTCAGATGTACAGCATCATTTGAAGGGTTGTTTTCACTCATTCAGCTTACCTAGAGAAAGGGCAGTTTCCTGAACACCAGAGTCTTCCTTGATTGCTAGGTTAGGCATGACAAGACTGTGCAGTCTGACTGCAGGTAATGGCAACTCCCCAGATCACCAGAAAAGATCTTTCCCCATTTCAGGTTTTTTTCCCTTATCAGTGGGCTAAGATACTTCCTAAATGCATCAGCCTGTGCTTAGTGCCTTGCATGTGCTGGCCAAGTGTGCTTGATGCAGACAGCTACATATATTAAAGGGTTCCACAGATCTCACTGTATTGTAGAGCACTCCCTCTGTAGCACAATGGAGCACCAACATACACATACCTACCACAAAGTATTTGCTTACAGAAATCTTTCAAATTGAGAATTACAGTAATTCAGCTAATTGGGGCTCCAGTAGTAACAAGTTTCCAGTAGGCTCCTTCCATGGCCATCAGTTCATCATGAGTGCCCCTTTCAATGACGAGTCCTTGGGACATCACAGCGATGATGTCGGCGTTCTGGATGGTGGACAAGCGGTGGGCGATGACGATGCAGGTGCGCCCTTCTCTGGCTTTATCCAGGGCTGCCTGCACGGTCTAAAGGCAACAGACAAAGTGTCAGAATAAAAATGTGCAAATACAACAGGGCTCAGAGCTGGAGGAATCCAGTTGTTTCAGATTAATTAACCATATTGTGCAACACTTCTGAAAGTGACAGTGGGACTAAATCAGAGGTTCTGATATTGATGTGCTCAGCTGGGTCATGAATTCTGTTTACCAGTATTACAAACAAGAGACAGCTAAACATAGAGGTAGAAATAAAGGAAGATCTTTGCTGCATGCTAAATGTCAACTGAATGCTTTGAAATCCAGGCAATTCAGATGTTTCTGTTTAAAAGCACCTGGGGCTGGCTGCTTTTTCTTACAGCTGTACCTGAAGTGGAGGCACTTCTCAGAAAGATGATTAAAGGTGAAAGTGCTGAATTCACAATGTGGAATAATGCAGCAGAATATGCTGGCATATCTATAGAACAGAAAAGGTGGTATGGATCAACTGTGTATGTTGTAGGCCATTAACTTTTCCTTATCGATATCATCACTGTGCATTTACCTTTTCACTTTCCGTGTCTAAGGCAGATGTAGCTTCATCCAGTAATAAAATTTTAGGGTCTCGTATGATGGCCCTTGCTATGGCAATGCGTTGCTTTTGCCCACGAGACAGCTGGGATCCCTGAGCCCCAACATTAGTTTCATATTTCTGAAAAATATACAAGGGATTATTTTATTCAGGTGTAATTTAACACACCAGTAGACAGCTAAAGCAATAGCAGGAGAGAGGCAAGAAAGTCGACCACTGCTGACCACTTGCAGAACCTGGGAATGCAGAAATAATGTACAGCAGCAAACATGTTTGGGGTGAGGTTTCCAAGCTGTTCTTTGTCTGCACATGGCCCTGAGGCCCAGGCAGCACAATGATGAGCCTGGAAGGAAAATGTGATAGCAAAATGTTGGCTGATTTGTGTGAGGCAAAAAGAATTCTCCCTGCCCTAGATTTGGGAGAAGAGGCTGAAAGTGATTTAAAGGCTTTCTAGAAAAGTGCTTTGTTTGGGTCCCTAAATTGTACCCATTCCCTATATGTTCTTTTTATATTTATATTATTTCAGTGTATTTAAATACTGCTCAAGTGTACATAAGCAGCCAGCTTCAAATATTTTTGTCTAAGTGTCACATCCTACTCACATGGCAAATCTCCCACAGCTGGGAACAGGATTTATGTATGTGCCTACTTTCTAAGAATTCAGTAATAACTCACACCCAGAGTCTAAGGAACACAACAAATGGTCACAGCAGCCTTTTGCTCCTACTGTCACAGCTGTAAAAGGACATAAAAGTGCACGCATGTAGCAACTTTATATGGTTTCAGAGCAACTCCTGTAATGAACACTGAGCAGCCAAGGCCTCGCAGGTACTTACGTTAGGCAGAGACATGACAAAATCATGCAGTTGAGCCTTCTGGGCTGCTTCTATGACTTTTTCCATTGTTGCTTCTTTTGTGTTACTGCCATATTTGATATTATCAGCAATGCTGCAGTCAAATAGCACAGGCTCCTGTGACACTATTCCGATTTTTGATCTAAGAAACTGCACATTTACGTTCTTAGAGTCATGTCCATCTATTAACTACAAGGAAATGGAAGAAAACTTGAAACATCTTTACAAAGCAACAGCTTGCAACACCCAAATAGTTTATAGCAAAATAAATGATTTAACCGTATCATTAAAACACAAACACAACTGATTTAAAGTGGTTGAATTGCTTGTCTCTGACTCCTTTGTGCATGATGTTTATTTTGTGGTACGGCTTTGATCCATGCCACAAAATACACTAGACCATTTGCTCAACAGAAGTCCTAATGAACTATTTAATTGCTTAAAGTTAGGCATGTGCTTTATTGTCCTCCTGACATAGTGATCACCGTACAGATTTTTTCCAGAGAAAGATAAATCAATCTAGATAGGTAAATATTTATGTTAGGAAAACATCAAGCTTTCTAAGCTATCAGTAATTGAATAACTGGAAGTTAAATCTAGGCAAGTTCCAGGCTCTTTGATGCTCCATTCAGACTTGATTTTGCTTGTACTCTCACAATTCACAGCGTACATTTGTATGTTTCATACAGAAGCCACCAAGGCAAATGCCTACAGCCCTATCTAATGCATGAGAGTGCACCAGAGGCAGGTAGTTCTCTTATCTTGTCTGAATATGTCTGAGATAATACTTGGGAACTGTCCAAACAGTCCATATGTGTCCTTTTGAGAAGGAGAGGAAGCCTCAAACTGCACATTACGAGCAACACTGCTAGGCTGCACAGTAGGACACAGGCAGAAGGCCCTTGGAGCACTGCTGAAAATCAGAGGACAAAAACCAATTTTCTTTGCTTACCACACTTCCTTTCTCAGGGTCATAGAAACGCTCCAGAAGTTGCACACTGGTGCTCTTACCACAGCCACTACTTCCAACAAATGCCAAAGTCTGTCCAGGTTTAACAGATATAGAGAGTCCTTTCAGGACCTGAATATCAGGCCGAGAAGGGTATGTGAATTTACAGTTAAGAAATTCAATGCTTCCCTTGAAATCATCCTGGTGAAAAGAAAAACGAGAAAGATGTTACAGTGAGCTTGAGCTCAACCCTGAATTGTAAAGTACAAGACAACTCTTCCGCAGATCCATTCTTGCATCTTTTGCTTAAACTTTGACATTTGTACTTATGAAATTATCTCAGGAAAAGGGAAAAACCATACTGGAGTAGCTGTCCTAGGGGTGAAGCTATTAGTGATACCACTGTTTCTCTGCTTATTCTTCCCTGCATGGCACTGGTCAGAGGCATAAATTGGAAATGGCATTGCCTTGCCAATGGGCACATTTTTCCTTTTAATATAGACACTGTGTATAAAATAAATAATTTCAATTTTCTGGGTCTGACTGTCCAATTCACCAGAAACTGAGCATTTTCACTTTGTCTGACGCAACAATTCCTTGCCTCCGTATGAACACCCTCCACCAGTTTGATGTGAATGGAAAAACCTCCATCATAATCAGCAATAGTAAGGTTGGCCATGAACTGTAAAGCAGGAAATAAGAGCTTGCTGTTCTGTGAGTCATACAAATCAGTTCCATTCCAATTTACAGTAGTTTTACACTGACAAATTTCTAATGGCTGACTTTATACTACTCTTTATGTCTAGTACAGAGCTTGCTTCCAAAACAGCAAAGACAAACAAAACTCTTACAATCAGCATAACCTTCTTGTAAAGCATTGAACCTCATTGACTCCTAAATCACTAGTACAAAATCCATGCTTGTAGTGAGCTGACTGACATCACAAATTACACATCTCCACTCTTACCCATTTTTCCCCTTTTTCACTGTAAACACTGATTTTAGGAATCCGATCTACCAGTTGAAAAAAGCGTGCAGCAGATGTTTTTGCTTTGGCATAGTTTGGCGTGTAGGAAGAAGCTCTTCCCAACGCAGTTCCACTGGTGACAATTGCAGAGATCACCCTGTGGAGAAGGAGGAAATGGTCATTCTTGGGAAGCCATCAGGAAACTGAACACCACACCGAGTCCAGAACTTTCAGACCTGTTTGTGGCGCTGAGCAGGCTCTCACCTGAACACAAAGCTGTAATGGAGCCCTTCAGCGTCAACGAGATATCCCCCGTAGCGGTAAGAGACGGAGTTGGCAATGAACACGATGCTCTGGGCAAAGCCATAGCAGACTCCGTACACGTGTGCTTTTTTGATTGCAGCTTTGTAGGGCATATCCAGGTGCTTCTCAAAATTCTCAATAAACATTTTCTCTTTTCCTATCCCAGCTACTGTTCTGATATTAGAGAGAGCTTCACTGGCAATCTGGAAGAGGGAAAAAAATGGGTAAACGCTCCTAATTTTTACTTGGAAATGTAGACTCTGGTCTCACAAGTGCATGATTCTTTCATTAACTCAGGACACTGATGCAATATGTAAATTCATTCAGGCATGATACAGACTGGCCCAAACATCATACAGCCTAAAGAGAACTTTTCCTACAAGCAATTTCCTATTGATTTCCTCGAGAGCAAGGCTCTGCCTGGTCCACTGGAGCTGTTACTGTAAGCCCTTTTAGGGAATCAGGCACATGCTCTCACTTGTGACTTATTTCACATAATGTGAATAAATGTGACACCCACAAAAGGGAAAACTGTTTTAGGAACTTCTTTAGTTGCATGGATTTATTAATTAAATATGTTTATTTCAATTGTTTTCTGTTACTTTTAGCAACAGTCAAAGAAAGAGTTAAAAGGAATAGCATTCCCAACTTCCATTTCATAAATCGAATCCACTTGAATTTACTAAGTTTCCTTATCTGCTCACCCTCCCTCCTGCTGATGTCCAAAAGGCTGATGAGATGGAACATATGAATCTTCAGTGACAAAATTTTCAAGATTTTTACCTTGTACATAGGCAAAGAGTAAGCAAATGCTTGCCTATGCACATATGAAAATGCAACACAGGAAATTATGAGATAATCACCAGAGAAACTTGTGTGGAACTTGTGTTAGTTGTAGGCTTCATATTATAATTTAGCCAGTCAGAATTTGGGTTTATATCCCAACAAAAGAGTACCACAATTTCACCTACAGAAGTAAATTGATGGCTTGTTTGGTCCTAATTTCACCCTTTTAATCTCAAGTAATTTTACTACGAAATTGTATTAAAATGCTGTTGTTTGCTCGGACGTTGATAGTACATTCATAATGTAACACATTCCTTTGGGAGGCAAGTGTGGTATTATAGCTTGTGAATGTTTTCAGCATGCAGGAAAAGATCTGAATGTAGAAAATCAGAAATCCAGTTTCAGGGGTTTTTTTTTCTGGCCAAAATTGAGAGTCAATGTCTTGCATTTTCACTCAATGTGAAGGAGCAGATAATAGGTATTGTGAATTGGATTGTGCAGACCTTTTCCATGTTTAGCATGGCTCATGAGCAATTGCTTTGGAAGAATTCGGTGTTTTTTGCATTTGGATGCAGTGCTGGCAAATAAATTAGAAAATAACACCAGAAACAATCAATCATCACCAAAACTGATGAAGCTTTGCTTAAAATATGACTTCATCATAGTCTCTGGGTTGTTCTATTGAGTAAGAGCAGTTGCCTTGACTGATTAGTGAAGTTTCTCTCCTTGTCAAGAAGTATTTTGATTTAAGACTTTTGTAAATAATTAATTATTCTGGGTGTGGGCAATTGGTCAGGTCCTAATTCTTAAGATAGAAAGGGCTAAGAACTTAATTCTTAAGCTGCTACGACCCACCAAAGTAACAACTGTCCTTTTTAAAATCCACAGACTGATTTGTGGTTCAGTGCCAGATTCTCAGGTGCGAGCATTTCTAGGTGAGCAGCTATCACTGCTTTCTGAGGACAGCTTAACACTGGTCAACAGCAAATGGGAGTTTAAATAAAACCCAACAAAGGTGAACCAGACTGCTGAGAGATCTGTGTCTACCACTTCAGTCCAACAACATCAAGGTCAGTCACATTCCATGCAGCAAGTGCTTTTGCAGTTAGGGAGTTCCCAATGCTGTTTCAATGGTTTAACAAGCTGAAATATTGCAACTTATTCACAAACCATTGCCAGTTTCATGACATTTGAATTACTGATGGTCCCTAAAGACTGATTTTTCATCTACCTGTGACAGCAAATATAAATTAGTCTTTAAACAGCATTACCCGTCCAGTAGCTTCCAGTGCTTTCCTGTCCTGCGAGGCAAATCCTGTCAGCATTTTAGCCTGCACAGCTCCAGATAAAGCCAAAAATGGCAGGAAACACATTATTACCAAACTCAGTTTCCAGCTGAAGTAGAAGGCAATGATCATGGCCACCCCAATGTTAGTAAAGGAATTGACAATCATTCCTATCTGCGATCCAGTTGCCTTTGAAGAAAAGAAACAGACATCATTGATATGTACTTCAAAAACAATTTAAACAAACCTTCCTATAAAACTTTAGAAAACTGTAAATTAAAATAACATAAGACACTAACAGTTAGACTGCACTGGAGTTCAGTCAGTCTGGATATACTGTTTCCAGTTATTTGGATGAAGAACAGGACTGCAAATGTCCAATATTCCTTTGATCCACGAAATTTCCCATTGAGAATTCAGAAGATTGTTTCTACTGTTTGTGAGAAAGATAATGTAATTATTGAAATCTGTTGCCTTGGTTCCCTGGAGAATAACTCATCTGAATACATTGTTTAGCTTCTACATTTATCTATGTAGATTTAAATAATCAGCAGGACCATTTTATAGCTTAGCTATTAACAACAAAGCCTCAGCAGTGCTAAAATCAGTAAGCAACTTCACTGAAAAGGGATGAAATGAAGCTGTATTTCTGTCTATCCCTTTATTAAGGAAAAAAGTTAAATACAGCTTTGACATCATCTTTATTGAATACATTTGTCTGCTCCTTATGTACTTCAACAATGCTATTCTTTCTAACAGACTTATTTACTCAAAATTAATTTTCTTTCATAGCAATAAACAGCACCCTAAATAGGAACTATATTGCTATGTATTAGAATAAAAATGTACATTTGATATCTTTGATGATTTTCAGTCAAACTCATTTGCAGAGTGCGAACTTGGCAGCACAAAATGCTCATCATCTCCTCCTCCTCTGAGCTGCAGCAAGGTCTGTGTCAGGCAGTGAAAGGTGCAGGGCACTGCTGCACAGGTAGCTCTGGTCTCCCTCACCCCCTGCAAGCTGTGGGTTGGATGGCTGTGCCTCATTCTTGTGCTTCAAACAAAGATGTCCCTTAGGACGTTAAATGTTTAGTCAGAGTTTTACAAGTTTATTTATTTCTATTAAAAGACACCCTGTGAGGTTTCCAGCAGGTTTCCCTGATTCTACAGAAATTGCTGCTGACAGGGCTTTTGGAAACCTCTTCTCTAAAACCCCCGTTAAAAGTTTTTTAAAGCTAACTTACAATCTTGAGTCAAGCTGAAACATGACAATTTTTGCAACAAAAGAAATCAGTACATCTCCTTCCTTGTTTCTAGAAAATTGCTTGCACTGCAGCCCAGCAAAATGGCATCTGACTCACTTCTACCTAAAGATCAGTTCAAATAGGGAACATATACAGCTCAGCATGATTTAACCCTCAGCCACTAGGGAACACAATGCATGCAGCTGGTGTGTCACTTTCCCAGACACTGAAACTGGCTGCAGGATTCCCAGCTGGAGCACCAGCCACTACTGCAGATTGGTTTTTCAAGTGGGTTGTCAGTTTAGATCAAAATTGCCACAACATGCACAATACCATGCTGAAAACTGGAAAACATGGTTATTAATGATTGTCAATAACATACTATTTTGACATGTTTTTAAAATAAACACTTTAAAATTGTGACAAAAAGCTAATTCATCTCCAGAAAAAAAAAGAAAATCAAACTTCTGCACTGGGTGTTCCTTCCCATTCCATTGTTGGTTGGTATTTTATTGATTTTTGTGTTCTTTTTTTGTACTTTTAGGGTATACCATTATACTAGTATTGGTTCCACGGTGGCAGTCTATTAATAGAAATAGCTGAATTGGCTTACTAAGAACTGATCTACACTGATCTGGCTGGTTGCATGGCAGCTAATTTCTGTGAAGCACATGCCAAAATAAGCCTTCAATCAGTCTACAGTAAAACAATTCATAAGGTGCCAGGTCTTACCCCTTGGACCTGTGAGGCATCTGTTGCAAGCCTGGTAGTCAAAGCCCCGGGGCTGTTCTTCCGGTCATCAAACCAACCAATGTCTTGCCCGAGCATGGCCTGGAAACCAATTTTCCTTAACCTTCTTGTAAGCAGCTCCCCAGACTTGGCAAAGGTGTATCCCTGGGGTATATGAGAAGAAAAACAGACTGTGCAGAGAGAGACACACACCAAGAAAGGGGAGCAAAACCAAAAATATGTATTGCTAAATTGGACCATTACCTGGAGAAATTGTGTGAGAAATGAGAGAACTCCGACTAAGACAAAGAGCACGCAGACACCATTGATCTGGTTTTTTTGGTTTTCTTCATCAAGAATGGAGAAGGTCTTTAAAAAAAAATATGGAAATGTCAGTTTTGCTGTGTGTGACATATGCACTTGATTGCCAATTGCCAAGTGCAGAAACCCACCCTGCAACCAAAGCCAGAACACAGAGCTCTCCCTCACCCCCTGCAAAGGTCTGATTATTTTTCCTAAGGTGAGCCTGGATTAAAACATAATGGGTTTTACTCCTGTTAACCAACGAGTTCAGTATGCTTGGTGCCTGCACTCACTACTCCGATTTGTGGCCTATCCCTGGTTATAATTAACCACTCACCCCCCACTGTAAATAACGACAACAAGAAAATAGCAATGTAATAAACAGCATAGCAACAAAACAACAGAAAAATCTGGCCTGTAAAATCAAACCATCCCATTCTGCAGCTATCCTAACACAGTTACTTATGTTTTTAATCTGTGCTCTCTATTAAAAAAAAAAAACACTGATCATGGCAGCATGCAGCATGGACAATATCAGCAGTATTAAAAAGAAAGATTTGTTGCTGAGGTGTCCATTTTCAGATCATATAAGTCTCAGCAGTTTTAGTGTGGACTGTCTTTCATCTGGAGCCATGGACTCCAAGCCCAATAGGAGTAAGAGCACACCTTTCAGTTGAGTTTCACTGGAAAGGATCCATATTCTGAGACAATCCCACAGGAAAAACCAAAGCATAAGTCAAAGAAACTACTGAAAACATTGCTCAAAAGGTACATACACAGTATTACCTAGTTCTTCATCGACTTTTTGGGACTTATTTCTGAAAACTTTCAGGGCAGACTTAGCTAAATTTATCCTTTCACTTCATAGCTGTGGGGATTTTTCCTTCACTTCCCCAGCATATTTGTCCCAGAGTACAAGCCCACGTGTCTGACACAACAACATTGCAGATATTTGGGCAGATCTGAAAGCAGATGTATATTCCATCTGCCTGACTGCTTTGGCACCAGGCAGAAATATTTTATATTTATGAATAATGAAACACAATAATAAAACACAGATATTGGATATCACAGATATTATTCCTCATGTTCATTATGGCTTGCTTTTTCTTGCAGCCTCTCTCCTTTGATAGAGTGAGACCTTCAAAAGTAGGAATTCATCCTTGGCCATGAAGGTATTTAGCATCATTAGCCCCAGACCTCCCAAGGTCTAGAAGACTCCTCTCCAAAGGAATCAAAGGTGAGATTCACAGTGGAATGTGTATAGCAGTGTCTTACCTGAGTGAAAAGTGAAAGCCACAGTCCTTGACATGAGGTCTGGACACTCAAAAAGTGTTTGGAGGTGGCACACCTATGTCTACAGGACAAGGATTTTGGGCAGAAATACTAAGTGGATCAACAGGGCCTGGAACATCCTTTTTCCTCCTGCTCATGGGATCTTATTTAAATGCAAAGCTCCAAGTAAATGTGATTCGAAATTCTAAGTAACTTCCCAGTGACAAATGTCTAAGCCAGAACAATACTCACAAAAAATCAAACAACAAAAGGTCAATCTTTTTTTTTTTGATAGATTGTTGGCACTACTCTTAGAATTCTTTTCTATCAGGAGCTCAAATGCTGGGTCATTCATTCATTCATTTGCTTTTTCCTTTCTGTAAGGTTTTTGACCTCCAACATCTGTCTACCTTTTAGGGCATATATTTTTGCACTTGTGTACCTACCATGGCCTATGCAAGTGAGTGAGAAACACATCAGATGGGTGGCAAAACTACAAAAAACCTGTAGCATTCCCATTTTATCCCAGTGAATGTGTTGTTTACTTAATAAGATACAGCTTGAACAGATGGGATTTCTCTAGCCTAATTCTTGAAAATTCAGGACACTTGCCTAGGTACTAGTCAGAGCAGCACTGAATATCTTCAGGCAGCCTCCAATGCCCCACCAACTTGGCAAGCATTTCCCCAGAAAGCTTTTACACAAAAGGGGATGCACCCTTTTGTCTATCACCAAAAGTTTTTGAAGAAATAAACACTCATTGAACTTGACATGTTTCAAGAGAGGTGGTGGTAGCTGATTTTGATGATGTGGTATCTTTTAGTTAATGTTAAAGTTTAAAACAAATTCCAACTTCCTGTTTCCAAACCTATTGATGCAGGCCTACTGATTGCTGGTGGCTGTGCACCCAGGTACAATTACCTACCTCTCCCTAAGCATTCTGCAGGGAGCAGGCAACAAAAAGGTGCCTGAAATATGTAAACAAAAAAATGAAGTATTTTTTAGATCTGATCCAAAGCTTTCTCAAAGGCTTTCCAAGTCTGTATAATAAAATTCTGCAGAGAATGACCTTTGCATGGGCCTCTCTCCACTGTACCTGCATGTGAGGTATTTCTTATCTCATCTAAAATCTATACTTTCTATGCAAGTATAGAAACCCATTCCCAACAGTTCCTGGAAAATGAACAAAAGAGATAATGAAGGACACATGACAAATGCTGATAAGCTTGCCCCTTCAAAGAGCTCTAATGATAGTTTGATGACAGTGATATAAATATCTACTGAATTGCTTATAGGCAAGAGGTTAACCCCATTTTCATTATGAGATCTAAAGATTTGCCAAAACATGTCAAGTTGTGCATCATATATTCACTCTCCTCTGCTTCAGAGCTAAAATACACTATAAAATGTTCCCATAACATACCCCAAGAATCTGACTGAATAACAAAGCATAGAGTGGATTGACGGCTCCATTCACAGCTGCTGCCAGAGATCCAAGCACCAGGTATGGCCATTCAGAGGCATTGTATTTCAAAATTCTGGTAAATGATACAGGCTTGGCATCTTCCTCCACAACAGATTCCTAAAAAAAACCAGGTTGGATTTCTGAAATGAATACAGTCCATCAGTGCTGCTCTCCCTTTGACAGTGAGATAAAACAGTGAGCCTAGTTTGTTAAACTAGTGGACCAAACAGCTGCTCTAGCTTTGGACAGGAGGGGCAGCTGCTGTCTGGACCTCTTTTGTGGGCCTAATAAGTCAAGTTTAAAAAACACTTAAATAAACAACAAACTTTATCATGCCAGGGGGAAAAGAGAGAGATTCAGATCTTTTGCAGCTCTAATTGTTCCAGCTGCAGAGGTTATTTACAACCAGTTTGAGATTTTCTGCCACTGAAACTCAGGCAATTCCCTTTCAGCTGTCTCTAGACAAGGTGTGATGGAATACAGTGCCAAAAACTTAAATTCCCTTCTCACAGGCAGCTTTATCTGTCACTCATTCAATCTCTTAAATACTATTTAAAGTATTGTGAGTGACCACACTGATCAGACTGCATCAAATTAACAGGTATGTGATATCATTAAAACAAGAGAGATGTCAGAGTGATAGCTGGATTCAGGCTTTTTACATGGTAATTATGCCTCCCTTCTGTGAAACATCCTCAGACTGTATGTTGAATTCCCATAATTATGCCCAGAAAGGGCAGAATATTCATCATCAAATTATAACTTATCCTTCAGTTTGATTTGTACAGAATTTTTGTAACACTTTGTGTGCTCAGCCCTACTCATCTCCCTCAATTCATATGACTAGAAACAGCCAGACAAAAAAGACACAGTGAAGACCTATCTTTTGGAAATATGCAGGGAGGAGTGGGTGGAAGCATCTTGTATTTTCTCTTTTTTTGTGAGCTGGTGTCAGAGTGATAGCACTCAAGCCCTCTATTTATCCACAGAATAGGCTTGGCAATAGCAAGAAGGGTAACTTCTATCTGCTGCTCTGGGTACTGAACAACTGCGGCCATGCAGATTGATGCAGGGAGCTTCAGAGGCACTTTGGAAACCCACTGTGCAAATTCCTACATATTCTGTGTCATTTTAAGGCATGCTGGCCTTTATTTTCTACACCAGTAGATTGCATGACGATACTGAAGTGAAAGGATTTTAGGTTAGGTTTCAGTGAGGATGTCTCTCTGCTCAAATCTCCAGATGATTTTTAGATGAAAGTGAATTTATTCTTTACTGAACAAGAAGCAGTGCCATTTGTATCACTGAGGGCCCATTAATTACATTTCACCCACTGAGCATTTTGCTTTTTGTTCTTTAATTCAATTTTTAGGAATGTATATTTTTCAACCAAATCTACACCCTATTTACCAACAGGTAGAGAGCAAATAGCAAAATGTCTCTGCTAGAAATTTCATATGGACCAATAATCAAAACAGCCATCAAAGTGCAGCCTGGGGTTTACACAGAGATAAGAATTGAAGCTGTGGTTTTGTTTCAGGTGAGAAAAGGATCAAGCCAAGATGTACCGGCTACGAACTCTTAATGTACAATCACATAGGTACAGGTGACCATTAATGAGTAACATAACCTATTCAGTTGAAAATTTCATAACAAACTATTGGACCTGACCTTTTTTGCTTTTCCATCATCTTCTCCATAAGAAGGGGCAAGATAGTTGGACTCTGCATGGTCTCCTCCAATAGACAGTGGAGGATCAGGGACCACGTTAGAGAGCTGGGATCTTGAGCGCTGCCGGAGTGAAGCTCTGCAAAGAGAACAGAAATGGCCTGCTCTTTACAGCTTAGTAAAAACAATAATTGCTTGCAAAGCAGGTGCAGTTTTCATGTCAATTAAATCAGAATGCACTGAAGCAGTTCATAAGAATCCCACAGATTTTTTCTTTCTTGAATATGTTCCCTCAACTTCTCGGGAAGAAAATATCTCACCAACTGGGACAAATACTTTTCAAAATCATATTCCACTCACACCACTCAGACATTGTCTTAGATGGACCATGTACTGTGTATTTGTCAAGTAAAACTGGGGTGTGTCCTAGTACATTTGCACAAGTTATTAAGACACCAAGTCAAATCACCACTACCAGTAATTCAGTCCAGCAAAACAGGAAGCTGAAACAAAGCACCTCTCTCTCTGACCAAACATAACTCTGCAATGTAGGAGATGTCTTCATTTGCACATGCCTGACATAGGATTGCCTGGAAGAAATAGTAAGTGTCTAGCTACAAGAAATTCTGGCTGTAAAATGCTTTAACTTTCATCAAGTAGAAGCCATAATAAAAATGTGCTTGTGGATTGCATTGATTTCTCAAGTAATTGCACAGCAAGTAATTTTTCAAACGACTGGACAGAAAGTGCATTAGATATTACAACTAAGGCTGTACGTTAGTAATATCAAACCCAGAACATTAACAGGGTAGATCAAAATTGAAGACAAGGTACTATGGACAGAAAGGACCAAAATGAAGAGCCCTGCTATTTATCCATGGATTTCAATCAGTAACATTATCACTCAAGCTATCTCTTGTCAAGAGAACTTTATCTCAGTAAAATGCTCACAGCCCTTCAACCCTCTTTTACACAGCACATAGAAAAGTTATTTATTAGGATTTTGGAATAGTGGGATGAAGTAGAAACATTGAGAATAGTCTGGAAACATTGAGATTTACAACCATTTTTAAGACTCACCGCAAACTGGCCTGATAGCTTCCCCTGCTGAATGACTGAACATTCTCAAGATTTGGCTCAACCACATTATTCTCTGCTGCTGCAAAATACAGTATAGAGAGCTCTGAAATTAGTGCCAAAATTGAATACAACCTGAATACACTGTGGTTCTGCAAAAAAGTGCATAGCCTCCAAGTCATAAATGGAATACTTTGTATAAGGAAAGGGGAGTAATATAACCTTGCTACTCAACCTACATGTTTCACAAGTTTTATATTTGTATTTGAAATAATGAAGTTAACTGAATATTAGCCCAAGGACCGTCTCACTTCAGATGTGACTGCTAAAGCATTTTTACCTATTTTAAGTCTGCAATTGCTCTCTTATTTCAAGATAATAATATCCAATGCATGCTTCACAAAAATACAATGGATCATTCTATTGAACCTTAATTTCCAGAAGCTTTAATTCAAATCTGCCTCTAGCAAAACAAATAGGATGATTTCAGCATAGTCTGTAATGTGCCTGAATCCCAAATGCAGCAGAACAGGACTTCTGGCACTCAGTGAAATTATAAAGTGATGGATATTTCAGATCAGAACTAATGTTTCAGGGCAGACTTATATAAGGAAGGTCTTTTAGTGCATATGCAGCAAAACCACTTTGGCCAGGGCTATCAGTGCACAATTCTATGAATTGTAAAATTCTATGAATTGTAAAAATCAGCCATAAAAGCAGAAGGAAAAAAAAAAAAGGCAGCTACTAGCCCTCAAAAAAGAAAGAAAGAAAAAAAAGAAAAAAAAAAAAGAATATCTGCATTCTGTGGGATTTTATAAAAGAAAACAATATGCTTACTTTGTGTTTCTTCTCTCTTAGGTGCTGTGTCTCCTTTGCTTTGTAAGGTCACCAACATGAAATAAACCCCTTTCCTCTGCAGGAGTTCCTCGTGAGTTCCTCTCTCTACAGCCCTGCCGTGCTCAAAGCCGATGATGACATCGGCGGCTTTGATGGCTGACAGGCGGTGAGCGATGGAGATCGCCGTGCGGCCGAGGCGAGCCTGGGGGAAACAGCAACAGCGCCACTCGCAGCACAGCAGCCCCAAATGCTGCCCATCAGCTCTGCACCTAAAGGCTCGTCAAACGAACTGGCGTCCTTCTAGTGGGTTCAGCCCACTTCAGCTCCGTCCACAGCCCGCAGAGGAGCATCTGTTTCTGGGCAAAGGGAGCTATAGGTTTCTGTTGATGTCCCAATGTAAGTAAAAATTACTCTCAGTCCACAATACTAAGGTTCTACTTGTACTTTATAAAAGAGTTATTAAGAAATGCTTCTGACTGATTTGTTACAATTCAGGAGCACCCTCTGCAGAGTGTATTATAAATAATTTCTGCCCTTTCGAGTCTGATTTTTTGCTATACTATAGCAAACCTTATGAAGTGCTTCTTGGACAATTGCTTCACTTTCATTATCCAGTGCTGATGTAGCCATATCCAGGAGCAGGATTTTGGGGTTTCGCACCAAAGCTCGAGCAATAGCTATCCTCTGTTTTTGACCTCCACTCATCTGGCTTCCACCCTCTCCAACATGAGTGTCAAATTTCTGTGTGAAGAAAAAAAGTTAAAATTAAAGAGACAAGAAAAAAGCCTGTTAAGATCCTGGTGAAGGTGGTGGTAAAATGTCTCAGAATTGTCCTTGGAGTAGATTTGAAACAAAAACATTGTTAGTGCAGCAGATTCAAAGAGCAACAGGTGAAATAACTTTCTTCATAATGTACAAGATCATTTTGCCTGGATCAGGTTTTCAACCCCATACCAAAATATGCACTTAAAAAGGTGAGATGTTCTGGTTCAGCTTGAAAGAGCTATATCAGCAGAAGCTGAAATGGAGAGGAATCACCCACCCACTCTCCATCAGATGACAGACAAGCAAACTTTTCCTGGCCTTGTCTGCTGATGACCTGTGACTCATGAACACTGTCTGTGATTCATGGATACCATACTCCGACAGCATTGGGTTCAGGTAGAGAATTAAATAAACACACAGAGTCTGGCATATTGAGAGACAGGATCATTATATTCCCTTAGAGCTAAAGCTTTTTTATTCCTCCATTTCCATGAAATAAGTAGGGGCCTTTGAACAGCCTTTCAGTAAATATTTCCTGGAAGCCTCGAAATGCATAGATGGAGGATAAAGACAATGTACTAATATTAGTTTAGGGTACTTGAATCATGTCAAACATTCACTGTTGTAACATGTCATTTCAGAAGCTACTTGGCAAAATAACATTCTAGAAAAGCAGAGAGCTTGATACTATCCAATTTGGGCTTTGTAAGGAGGAATGATTGAAGCCCTGTCATCATTAGGGAAGAAACTGGAGAAGAAGGAACCTCCAGCTGGTTTACAGAGCTCATACAAGAAGGTGAGGTTGTGAGCATCAGTACAGACAGGTGAAGTAACAAATGCTGGCTAGTGAGAGGCTGAGCTCTACATTGCTTTTGGCCTGAACAGAAACAGATCTCCAAAACATGAAAAATACAAATTTTTAAACCATGCCATAATTATTCCCATGATATTGAATGTTGTGTAAATGATTCCTGGGGAATTAACTCTTTTCGGGGTTGTAGTTTGGGGTGGGGGGGTGACGGGGGGTTGTTTGCTTTCATGACTTCATGGCATACATGGCATAAGACATAAATTACTGTGATCAGAGGAAAGGCGGTTGCCTCCTATCTGAATTCATCTTATGCCCTTCCACTTGAGCACAGATTGCTGCAGGCTAGGAGGGACAAAAGGACAAAAAGATTCTTTTTTTTCTTGCCAAATTCTGCCAAACACTTTCCAAGGCAGAGCATACCTGTGGTAAGTCCATGATGAAATTGTAAGCATTGGCCTGCTTGGCTGCTTGGATGATGTCCTCCATGGTAGCCTCGTCCCGGCCGTAGCGAATGTTCTCTGCAATGGTGGTGGCAAAGAGCACTGGCTCCTGTTCAACCACGCCGATCTGGGAGCGCAGCCACTGGATATTCAGGGAACGGATGTCGTGGCCATCCAGCGTAATCTACAGTTAGAACATGGACACAAAATCAGGGAAAAAATCAGGGATGTTATGCCCTCCACTTCAGAGACAAAGAAAGACACAGTAGAAGTGAAGGGCCTGTGATGCTGTGTTTCCATGATCAGCATAAATATCAGATAAAGAAGGAGGTATAGTGGTAGTAAGAATATTGGCTCTCAGAGTTGTGCTCTTTGATTTCATTTCCCATTTCTGCTTGGCACCAGAAATAAAATCAGGTGAAAAGTAAAAATAAAGTGATGATTATGTTATTTACAGTAATTTGTTTCTTTGTTTTCTATATGTTCAAATACAGGTCAATATGTACATGCTTATCTGTTCCTATCTGATATAGGAACTCATAAATGGAATGAGATTTTGAATAGCTATAATTCATATTCTTAGCCAAGCCATTACTAAGTGGTAATTGCATATACTTAAGTGATATTATGGGTTAATGTTTAAATGTTCAATACTGTGTTTTCCAGGAAACATTTGTCACTCCTGAATTATCATTTCTATAGGTATAGTTTTTACACAGATTTAGCACTGAATTTTTATTTTCTCCTACACAACTGGCTTTTTCACATAATTGTTTTTATAAGACTACTAAGCACAGTTTTATAAAAGAAATGTGTAGGAAGATATTTCACTCATTTAAAAAATAATTGGGAAAAAAAAAGAAGAAGAAGAAATAAATGAAAAGGAAGTTAGTAGTATTGCTTCCCACCTTGGAGAAGAAACCAGCTATTCTTTCAGTTTCTGGGGCCAGAGAAACACACTGTAGTCTGGGACACTCACCATGCCATCAGTGGGGTCATAGAAACGCTGGATGAGCTGTATTGTTGTACTTTTCCCAGCTCCACTAGATCCAACAAAAGCTGTTGTCTCTCCTGCTTTAATCACCATACTAAGGTTATCCAAAGTCTGGACAGGAAAAAAAAAAGAAACAGAATCTATCTATTTTATTTCTCCATGGTCATACAACCAAGTGAGTATATTTTGTATCTTAAAGTAAAGATTCAAAGCAATTTTACAAACTTCAGAAAAGTATTATGAAGAAAAAGGACAAAGCAAGCCACATTTAGTCTGTTTGAAGACTTTGTAGATGCAGAGTACACATTTCTACAACAGGCAGGCAGATTTTGACCTTTCATTGTTCCTGTTGTTTATCATTAAGAACTAGTCAAGTTAATACACTAGAGAAGTTAATTAATTATATTCTCTTTAAAGAACACTCTGTGTGTATTGTGAATGTATGTTACAGCATAAATACTAAGAGTATAACCATGATATTTTGTAGAAAAATCTGATACAACATGTGCTTCCATCCTTAGAAGTAAAAGCACTAATATGCTTTAATAGCACTAATATGCTTGTCCAAAAACATGCTTTTCCAAGGAGAATTTGCCCATTCAAACACAGGAGTGGATAAAGAGTGGGATATACAGCCTACCCTCCTGTCCCTTTCCTAGCCTTTTAATGGGTCACATGGTGCATCCCCAGGGTAATGGAAGAGTTTTATAAAATCTTCTTGAGCCTTCAGTTTATTACTTTGTGTTCTGTCTCGTACACATTGATACAAGGGCATCACTGGTCGCAAGAGAAGCTGTACACAGGTGAATTTGCCCAAAATTACTGGGAGTTTATGTTCAGCAGCAAGGAATATGCAGATGTGACAATGGATATGTCAGAATGGTAAAAAAGCCAAACAGTAAGCAGAAGAACACTTTAATGGAAGAATTATTCAGTCTACTTTTAAGCAAAGAGTCTGGGCTTCTGGAAAACAATCTCTATGGAAAATCTAGAAATTGCTGGCACAACAAGGATATTTTTCTTGTTTACAATAATTGTGTTCACAGCATGAGTGATGAATAATTACCTTTATGTCTGGTCTGGATGGATAATTGAATGTTACGTTATGAAATTCAATTTCCCCTCGTACTTTATCCAGCTTGTAGCCATCTTCTGACATGCAGTCAATGGTGGGTTTCTAGGATGAAATTTATTGGGTTATTTATTTGCTGTTAAACAGTCAACAGTGCTGCAGTAGATAAATAGAATCCCATACAAAGCCATGGCACTTCTGACTGAGCAGCACTTGGCTGCATGGAGCCAGCTGCAAGCTCTGCCCCAGGGATAGCAGGCAAGGGACATGGAATTGAGGGCCAGAGTGATGGGGGAGTTGGCACTGGTGGGTAGGACAGACAAGAAGGATGCACCCTCTTCTCATTGCAGGCTTACTGCAAATACCACAGCCAAGCACTCAGGCAGTTTTGGCTGGAACTGAGTAGCTGACTGACAGAGATATTTTGACTAAGCTAATTTAGCCAGCTCCTCAGGGATAAAATGGTACTACGTCACTCAAAAACATCCTTTCATAGCACCGAACAACCAATTTATTGCTGAAAATCTTCAGGCCTTGCCACTTGGCAATTAAAACATCCATCCTTGTGCACTCAGTCCTAAGAGCTGAAATACTGTAGTTTTCCTAATAAGTGCTTCATGTCTCATGTACTTTTGGCCAGGTGATGGGTATTGTGGATTTCTACACATGAGCAGAGAACTAAGAAATTTGAGGAATCACAAAGAAATAAAATTTTCTAAGGATAGATTTCTGAAGCATGGAATACAAGCAGTAAATTAAAATATAGCAATGAATATTTGATAACTGAAATGTGCATGCCTTTTTAATATAGCCTAACAGATTGAAAGGAAAGTTAAAATGAGAAATGTCTTTGTTCTAAGATGTTAAGAACAGCTACAAGATTGGTTTCACTTTGGGAATATAACTTACTTAAAATCTGATACTAATCTGTGACGAAGTTTCACTGATCCTACAAATGGGAACCTCAACATGACTAGTTTTATTGCCAGGGCA